TCAGGTTCCCTGGAGGTCTTACTCTCAAGCTCTATTTATCTTGCCTAAAGAAAGTCATGATAGCTTCCGAGGACCATTGTCTAACAATAACAAAAAGGAAAAGAAGTCTTGGTCTCGTCCTGTGGTGTTTTCCATAGTCTTTCGTCACCTTGTCTCACTCTCCTTTCAAATCTCTGTTGGCCCTGCCTCTTCCTCACCCCTTCTGGTTGATTCTTCCTCCTGATTTTGGCACTTATCCTGTACACTGCGGCCAGATCAGTGTTTCATAGACTCACCTTCTATACCAGTGCTTAACTGCTTCAAATCTGTACAGAACCCTACATTTCTGACATAATCCAGTTTAAACCCCATTGAAGGGCTTTTAAGAGCCTCATCAATCTAGCCCAGCGATTCTTAACCAGGAGCAGCTTTGCTCATACCTGACCCCTCCTAGGGTGGGCAATGTCTGGAGATATTTTGTATTGTCATGACTTGGAGGGGAAGAGGGGAATACCAGCATCTCACCAGTTAAGCCAGGGATGCACAGGACAGCTTCCAACAACAGATGATCCTGCCCCAAATGTCTGTAGTGCTGACCTAGCCCTCTCCTGCCATCCCAGCATCTCACGCTGCCACATGCTTTCATACGGGCAGCCTGGCTTCCTCCCTGGCTCAGGGGCTGGCTCTGTGAGAGTGAGTGTGGGTAGAAGAAAGATCACAGGTTGTTGAACCCGAACCATCTGGGGTTGGGTCCCACGTGTAGCTGGGTGACACTTACTTAACCATGCTGCGCCTTGGTTCCCTCCTCTACTTCATAAACTGTGTAAGGCCCCAAAGCAAGCTTCTACATGTTCTTTCGGCTTCCATTTAGACATTGCTCCCCTGTGCTCCTCCAGCGCCCTGTACTTCCCTGTCAAGTGCTAACCCCACTGTCTTGTAGCTGCTCATTTAATGACCTGTCTTTCCTAGTTTGGACATTTCTGGTCAAGGGGATATGCTTATCTTGCTCACCGTTGTGTCTCTGTAGCCCTTTTGTAGGTATCAGTAATACCTGAATGAATGAATGAATGAATGAATGAACACAAGGTCTGAAATAATATTGTGCACCCATTTCCCACCAAATGAAGTTTAAAAATGTTTGATTTTTTGAAATACATTTTTTTACAGCTTTATTGAGATATGACATACAATAAACTGCACCTATTTAAAGTGAACAATGGGATGAGTTGTGACATAGGTTCACACCTGTGAAATCATCACCGCCATCAACATACTGAGCATACCCTTTTTGCCCCAAAGTTTTCTCTGGTCCTCTTGTAAACCAAGAGGAGTTCTGCAGGATAGAAAATTCATAGAATCACACACTTCTGAGGCCACATCTGGTCCTAAGATTCACGTTCCTTATCTGTAAAGCGAGAGCATTTTGCCTTGCAGGACTGTCGGAGGTACACAGAAATGGTCTAATGGAATGCTTAGTAGAGCGGGAAGAGACCAGCAAAGCACTGTTGCTATTGCCTGCCCTGCCTGTGCAGGCCCCCTTGCCTGCGGCCCTCTACACTTCCGTCTGCCTGCTGAAATCATTCTCACCCTTCCAGGGCCACCTTAGGGGCTATCCTTCTTGGGCTGCTCTCTCTGATCTTTATTTCTGAAGCCCAAGTGGTCAGGTGCACAAGATTCAAGCTTGCTAACTCTTTTGCTTGTTTTCACTTGTCATTTCTCTCCTCCCAAACAGAGAGAAGGCAGCTGATGTAAAGGTTAGGGGTTTGCATCATAAATACGACTTCTCCATTCCCTTTACAACGCCTGGCTCAAGGCTGAGAACATGTTCAAAAGAGGCTTACCGATTGACTGGTTTATAAAAGAGTTTGTACCTCAAGACATTTTATTATTTTTTTCCTACCTCATCACATACATAATAGTGTAACAGTATTTGTGATAAAAAAGTAAAGAGAAAACCCTCTGCGTTCCACTCCTGTTGCATGTCAGCGGTTGGATATTTTCCCTTTCCTGTTATTTTATGCCCATATGCACTGAGAATTTGTACAAAGCTGTGATCACAGTGTAGATGGATCTGCTATTCTGCTTTTTTCACTCAATACGCCACCATGGGCATTTTTTCTTTTTGTGACAGTCTTCATAATTATCACTTTTTTAGGGGCCGTGTAACACTCAAGCATAATCTACTGAACTGCTTCCCTTCTGTTGATAGTGAAGGCTGGTTCTGAATTTTCACTGCTACACACAATGCTATAATCCACCCTGTCAACATATGCTGAGCATGAACAATGAAGCGGTGCTTGGCTCTACAACAGGCAGCTTTGTACCTGCAGCTTTTATCTTCTTCTGGCTTATTTCCTGAGGGTAGTGTTACTGGAGCAGAGGACTTAAACATGCTTGCAGCTTTCCAGTCATTTTTAGCCTAATCCTAGGGTCTCTACTTAAAAACATAATGAACTGTTGGAAGTCACATTCGTAGGTGTGTGTAGGTAAGGTGGGTCTCAGATGCTGTTGCCATCTGCTCTGCTGACGTCAGAGAGATGACTATTCCACCCCCTAAGCTCCTCACCTTCCTTGGCCCATACTCTGCACCCCTGAGTCCCTAGTCGGAAATGATCTTCCTCTGGCCAACTTCTCATCCTTCAACTCTCAGCCAAAATCTCCCTCTTTGATGACATTTCCGATTTTCCCATGTGTATATACTCACTAGTATCTTGCATTTCTCCACCAGAGCACACACAAAAGTGTAAATCAATTAATTCTCTTTATAGTTTTACTTTTTGTCCCCTCTCCCCCAACTAGACTCTAAGCTCTGTGAGGACAGTTGACTCTCAAGGTGGTTATTGCTGGATATCTGGCCCTAGTACAATCCCTGGACCATCACAGACACTCAGTACATATTTGTTAAGCAGTGGGAATAAATGAAAGAATGCTTGAAAAAAATCCTTTAAGGGGGTGAAAGAAAAGATTATTCTCTAGATAGGAAGAATAAGTTACAGTGTTTGATAGTAGTGCTAGGTGTCTGTAATTAACAATAATTTATTATGTATTTTCAAATGGCTAAAAGAGAGGAGTTCAAACGTTCTCATCATAAAGAGATGATAAATGTTTGCAGTGATGATATGCAAATTAGCCCTGATTCGATGCATCACATGTATCAAAATATTACTCTGTACCTATAAATCCATACAATTATTGTGTCAATTAAAAAATAAAATAAGTAAAAGATTACAAAAGGAACCATGATAGTTCATTTTCCAGACCACAGCTTGAGAGATTCAAGTTAAAAGTGGGAAGAACTATCTGAGAAGTATGAAACTAGGCAAATGGAAGTCTTCAAAATCAGCCTGCAGGCTCTAGACATCAGAGAAACAGAGTGTGAACTTCTAATATTTAGCTTTAAAGCTCTCCTTTTATATCCTGCTAGAAATATGGGGACAACTTTAAATTACACACAAATCTCTACATTTAACATTTAAAAACAAATCTCAATATTCAGACCATCAGGAGACTCTTCTTTCCAAGAAACTTCCCAATTTTCACCAAATGTGCTCTCAGTCTATCACCTCAAACAACCAGCTCTCCCATCCTCTAGTCTTCTACTTTTCCACCTTAAGCTGTGATCTGGAGAAAATTGCTTCTTTATTACGATGCTGGCTGGGCAATTTAATCCCTTTGTACCTTACAATTCAGTGCTGGAACAGGAAAATACTGCAGCAGTGGCTCTGGGCCAGCTCTGAATCTACTCGGGAGCTGTGAGACACACAAATCATTGGCAACCCTGGTGGCAGCTGGGTTTTCCATCTGATCCCTGTGCTGATACTCACAAGGCCATGATCATAGCCCCAGGGCCACAGGTGGAATATGGATCAGGTTATAAAACAACATTCCCCAGGTGACTGCAACAGCCAGCAACGGATCTCCCAGCCTCCAGCCTCCCCACTCCCATTCATTCTCTACACACCACTGGTGATTGTTCAACACCCAGATCGGATCATGTCACCACTTTAGTCCTTTGGTGGCTCTTGGTCACTCCAAGGTTGGAGTCCACATTTTCTAACCTGGTGCAACATCTTTTTGTACATCTGACACCTGTCTCCTTTGCTAGCCTCATATCATGTCCCTTCTTTCCTTTCCCCGCAGGTGCCCCTTTGCCAATATTTGTAATTAGATCAGATAACCAGTCAACCTTGCACTTGCACCCCATTAAGCTTCCTTGCAGTTCTCTCAGCTTCTGAGGCACTTCCATTCCTCAATATGAGTAAACATGTTCCCTTTCTAGGGCACCCTCCCCCAGCCCCTTTCTTCCTAAGGGTTCCTTCTGCTCATGCTCCACTCTTCATAGAGGTGCTGTCTGTACAGCAGGAGCTGGGGCTCCAAAGTTGGAAAGCCTGGTCTGAATCCAGGCTCCATCACTTACCACTTGTGCCAGACCTGCATGGGTACACAGCTAGACAACATTTCCCAGTTTGCTTTCAGTAAGGTGTGGCCAAAAACCTGAGCACTAGAAATAGAATGTGAGTGGGATGTATGTTCCTTCTGGGGCTGGCCCATAAAACCCTTCCATTCATGGCCCTCAAGTGCTCTTTCCCCACCTGCCACTTAGAAGCAAAAGACTGTAAGATCAAAGACAATAGTGGAACCATAAGATGAGAAGAGCCTGGGTCCCTAAATCTCCTCACAGAAGATTATCCACCAAACATCCACCTTGGGCTGTTATGTGAATGAATGAGAAATAAACTTCTATGTATTAAGACAGTATAATAGTAGTTAGTATAACTTTAATACATTAGCTTTGCAAGTTACTTAACTTCTTTGTTCCTTGGGGATAATAATAAGATTTTTAGGATGATTAAATGAGCTAATATAGTTGATGTATTTGGCACAGAGCTAGTAATACTAAGCCCCTAATATATGTTTGCTATTATAACTATTATTTTCATGAGCCCTCCTTTAAATGAATGCTACTCTTCTTTGAGAGAAGAGCAAGGGCCAACATGGTGCTCTTCAGAGCAAGTACTCACCTTTTTACTTCTTGCACGTAGTCTGCATTTCTGTCAAAGAGGTGGGTCACGGAATCTTTGATTGCTTCATGCTTGAAAGTAGAAGCTGTTCCAAAGACAGTCACATTGGGGATGGTGGAACACAACTGAGCCACAGCTTGGCCCTGGAAGTGAAATATAATAACAAGTCACACACGAGACCACCATCTAACAACCAGTCTTTCTGGGTGCAGAGCAGGATTTCTCAATTTTGGCATGACGTATTTTTTAGGTTGGGTTAGTCTTTGTTGTAGGAGGCTGACCTGTGCACTGTAAGATGTTTAGCAGCATCTCTGGTCTTTACGTACTAATTGTCAGTAGCAATCCTCTTAGTTGTGGTAACTAAAAATGTGTTCAGACATTCCAAAATGTTCCCAAGGGGACAAAACCTCTTTTGGTTGAGAACCACTGGTATAAAGGAAAGTCAGTGACAGCCAGACAAATCGTAGCACCAAGACTTAATTATTATTTAACCACATTGAGTTAATGTGGCAATAATTGAATTGGTAATAATGCTGCCTTACTGCATAGGGATCTTGGGTGGTGTTTTAGTTTGGATTCCCCAGAAGCAGACCCTGAGACAAGGATTTGAACGTAAGTATTTTATTTGGAAGATGGTCTCAGTAAATAGCATGGTATTAAGACAGAAAAAGCAGGCAGCCAACAAAGGATGTGTTATCAAGCCCACATCCACTGTGGGCAACTGGAGCTCAGTCCCTCTGGGGAATTCCATGTGCAGGTGTAAAATACTCTGAGAGTTGTCCTGATTGGAGGGTGAGGAGGCTGGAGTATTTATCCAACAAATTTCCATCTGATATTGACTGAGGGCTGCTTCTGCAGCAGTAACTCTTGTGTCTATCCGGATTGTCATCATGTGGCAAGTGTGCTCCTACAGCCAGACAGAGCCCTTAGCAAACAACCTTCAGCGGGTTGAGTTGAGCGCAGAGAAGACATGGTGTGCTGACAGCATCTGCTACAGGGAGGTATCGAATGAGGTATATGGGACACAGGTCAAGGGCCTAGCACAAAATGCTAGTACTTAATAGGTACTCAATAAATCTCAATTATTTTTTCCCCTTACAGGCTTATTATATCCAGGGCTGAGATGTCCAGGCATATAATGAAGTTTTAAATATTAAATGGTCAACACAAGTTTTAAATATTAAATGGTCCAAGTGAAATCACAAATGTAGTCAGGAGTGGGTGATTTTCCATATTCTTTTTCAATATGGTTGAAATTTAAGTTTTTGGACATAACACTGTAATCATGGGCATTCAGAAATCTTCGAGTAAAAAACCCAATTTGCTGGTAATTCAGATGCATGCTAAAACCAAGCCCTGTCTCTTTCCATGGTTCCATCTGCCATTTAAAGGAGGGAAAGTGTTCACCCAAGTCATCTGCAATATTAATTTCTGCCTATCATCTTATTTACATGTCTTCATGTTGGTGGACTAAATCAGGTTGGCAGATCAGTTTATGGAAATGTTATCTTATCACCAGTTTCAATTAAAGGCAACACTGAGAGAATCATAGAATGTCAGGGTTGGAAGATCATCTAATTACTCTCTCCCCATCATTATTTTATAGATGACAAAAGGGAGACCCAGAAAGGTTAAGTTCACCCAGTTTTTCAGAGGCAGATCTGGGATTCAAAGTAAGGTCTCCTCACTGCCAGTTATTGCCATTTTCTATTGTGCCAAGCTGTCTACTTATTTTGACATTTTAAGCTAAGCAGGCTTCTAAGTTGCTACCTAAAATAGACATGCTATTGGCACGCTCGGTTGGAGGTCAACATTTCAGAACATGAGCATGAACCTAAGACTCTAGACAGGCTATAGTTCTCTGTTGTGAGAATAGTTTTGATATTTGCTTAATTTTTTTCACAAGAATTTAAAGAACAAAAGGTGGACTATACTTCCTAGTGAGTGTAAATATCAGCAACAAATTCTCTAAAATTCACTGGCCTGAGATATGCCATGGTTACAGATCCATATTAATAAGGCTTGAGTTAACCTTGTCAGTACTGGGATGAAAAATTAGAATTATTTCCAATATCCCTGTAGTCCCTTCTGCCCTCTGTCCTATTCAGACATGACATTTACTCATGCAACTGTTTTTCAAATTTTCAGTGTACTAGCCACTCTGTGCTAGAGATTCCAGAGTGTCAGAAACAGTAGGCATCTCTTAAACTCCAGTGCCAAGCTGCCCACTGTGTCCTGGGCTTGCATATCTGATTGCAATGTGATTGCACATGTGATTTTGGAAGGGACGCAAATAAAGCAAGAACCCTCCTCTTACTGCACGCCCTGCTTCAGTGGATCTGACTGCACCATTCACCCCCACTAACTCCAGGAATCTGGGCGTCCTCCTGGATGCATGCCCCCACATCCAACTAGTCAGCACACACATTACTTCTTTCTCCTCAACACCTGTCACTGTCCCTTCTTAGTCTGGGGTATTATATCTCCTCCTTGCATTATGACCATGCCCTTCTAACTGGCTTGGCTGTTTCCAAGCGTCCTCCTGACATCAGAGTGATTTTTCTCAAACACAACACTGAGCATTTCACTATTTGTTCCCAAACTTCCCAATGCCTATCATGGCTTTCAGAATAAAGTGTACACCCTTCAGTTTATCACACAAGGCCAGCCCTCTGTGATCTGACCAACTCTGCTTTGTGAATACATTTCCCTCCATTTTTCCAGTATCTACTTCCTAACATCATTTAGAACTTGAGCCACCATGGATCTGCATTAGACACAAGCCTGGAGCTGTGCAGCCTTCACCTCATGGCACTCTCAGAAGGAGGAAGAAGCCAAGGCCAACAGAGGTGAGGTGCCTGGTCTGAGGCCACCAGAGTAAGAGCTGGGTTGGCTTCACTCCTGGTTGCTGCATTTGCCAGCTGAGTGACACACAGACGCCTCTGTTCACTCATCTTAAATATATACAGAGGAGGGTTGTCGTGGGGTTAGACGATATCATCCATCAAAGAGCTGAGAACAGTGAGCGCTGAATAAATATTTGCTATCTCTACTGCTAAGACTACTATTACTATTTCCCTTAGATTATTATCATATCACAGCAGTGGCGTATCCACTATCCTACCATTAGCTCCTGAATGTCTTATTCTCTTTGTGTTAGTCCATTTCTGTTGCTTATAGTGGAATACCTAAAATGGGGTAATTTACAAGAAAACAAAATTTATTTCCTATAGTTTTAGAGGCTGGAAGTCCTCGGCCTGGGATGTGCATCTGATGAGGGCCTTCCTCTGGGTGGAAACTCTCCTCAGGATCCCATGGTGACCAGGGTATCACACGGTGAGCATGACAAGAGCAAAAGAGCTAACCTGCTCACTTGCACTCCTTAAAAAGCCATCAGAACCATGCCCATGATGACCCATTAAACCATCAACCCATTACTCCATGAATGGATCAATCCATTTGTGAGGGCACAGTCCTCATGATCCAATCACCTCTTAAAGGCCCCACCTTCCACCACTGTATTGGGGATTAAGTTCCAACATGACTTTGGGGGAACATTCAAGCCACAGCACTATTATTCTAGCATAGTGCCAGTTTTCTCACATGCCTGTCCCCTCTCAGTCATGCCCTTCTTTCCATTTTCTCTTCAAATCAGAGCCATTCCCGCCTCAGGTCTCTTTTCTTCCAGAAACTCTTTCCAGCATCCCAGATAGGCTCGGTTGCCCTCTTTTGTGCCCCTGCAGACCTGTGGTTCCTTCCTCCAGGATGGTGGCACCACAGCTTTCTTGGCTGCCGACTGACCCATACTGTAAGCTCACTGTGGACAGGGATGGTTGTCTCCATGGGCTCTGTACCCCGGTGCCCAGTGCAGAGCCGGGTACCCAGCAAGTGTTTGGTAAAACTTATTGAATGGAGGCATGAGAAATGAGAGGGGTTCAGTGTATTGGGGCAGCACCCCAGTATAATTTTGCAGCTTTCAAATCCTTTAGAGTTGGAATAAAGCAGAGATTTAATTAATTATGATATATAACATATAAATATTCTATATATAAGTATATAATACAAAAGTATTACATTATATATAATTAAAATAATGTATAATTAGTATTCTGTATGTATTGGTATTAGACATATATTATATAATTAGTACTAAATACATATTTAATTAATAATGTATGAATATAACATTTAATTAATAATAATTTGAGTTATATTTACAATAACATAATGAAATCAGTACGCTATATAAGTATTGTATATAAGCTTATGTAATAACTTATTATTATGTAAGTGATAAGGGGTGGAAAACACAAATTCAGTACACATCTATTGGCAGCTTCTTAGTTCTCCAACAACTCACTCAGGCAATGAGAGGTCCTTACAAGATCCTCAATGATATATATATATGTTTTTTCGTGTCCGGCAACGAATCGCAACCCTCAGTGTCGCGCCCATACTGGACCGGGACCGGCAACGGGATCTCAACCCTCGGTGTTGCGCCCGCACCTCGCTCAGCCAGTGAGCGGCCGGTCTGTATGTGGGATCCGAACCCTCGGCGGGAGCGCCGCCGTGCTCCCAAGCGGCGCACTGTAGCAGTGCGCCACCGGGCCGGCCTCCTCAATGATATTTTTTAAAGTATATAATGCTCAGCATTCTATATTAAAGCAGAAAAGTGCTTTCCCTCACATTTATAGAAAATCTGTATTCTCCCCTCTCCAACTCCCAAGGTGAGTGCAGGATCAGTCTCTCATTTATCCTCATTTCTCCTAGGTGCCTAGCAAATAGCATGGACTCAATAAACATTTGTGGAAGATGGAATGAATTTTCAATAAAAAGGATTTTGACTCTCAGCCTCTCTGTTACTTCATTGACTCATTCATTCCAGCATTACAGGGCTATTTAATGAGTGCCTCCAGTGGGTCAGACACCAGGAGAGATGCTGAAAATATAAAGGTGAACAAGCTACTATGCCTCTGTCATCTTGGAGCTTGCATTCTAAAGAGGCAACAGATGTTGATAAAATAAATATATCATTAAAAGTATAATTATACACCTAAACCATGAGGATGAGAACATCAGTTCCAACCACTGAACCACTGGGATAAGACCACATTCGTGCACTCTGTTTTTGCAAATATGCAGC